AACCGTAGATTCCTTATGGTATACTGTTGGAAAAAGACATTTTTAAGAAAGAATCCATCGATGTCACACTAGCTACATAATAATCAATGTTAAATGATTGAAGTTGTTAGTTTACAATAAAACAAAATCGAAATTATATGTTATAATATATGTTGCCAAATAACGATATATTTATGGGGCATTTAGACTTAAGGACCTACTTAAGATTACTTATTTATTATAACCGGGATGCTTTTATAAATCTAATTTGAGTCCCTAAATTTAAAACTGATTACCACATCATATTAAATACCCCTGTCCACATTTATTATTTCCAAATTTTCTTTCTAAAATTCTTAATTTAATCATCAGGCCTTAAAAATTTTGATTTCCACAAATCAAATTTAGCAATTTAAAATGGAAGATTTTTGAAAACATTTTGAAAGTGATCTTTACATACAATGTCTTCTCTTTGGAGAGTGACTGCTCTTGAGTCATTTGGTGGGAAAGACACGAAAACGTTTTCTCCCTAGAAATTGATTGATCTTGAGTCATTTGGTATGAAAGACACCAAAGCAAGTATGTAGGTGCTCAATAGAGACTAAGTCCACCAAAATGTGATCAACCAGAAGTTCTCATACTCATATCATTTGAGAACTCACTAGTTGGGATAATGCAAAGTAGTCCTTTGAAATGAGGTATCATAGTTTTCTTGTGGTTAGGTCCTTAATCTTTGACTATGTTAAAGGCCTTCCATTAGAGTGTGTCCATGGAATAGTTGGGGTTAAGCTACTTAATCATGTACACATGTGAATGCACAACAAAGGATCTTTAACTTTCAAACCATTAAGGAGAATACTCTATGATGTTATTAAGAATATCTGGTCAGAGTATGAATATTATTTAGGAAGTATGTTCCAAACCACTTTCAAGGTAATCATATAGACAAGAGAATCACATTGGATAGTAGACATGAATAAACTATCACCCAAACAATGTAATCAAGAGTATTTATTTAGAGAAAGAATGTAGTGCCTTGTAATCCCAAATTGAATAGGTTCTTCAACCTCCTCTACTTTGCTTGGTAGCCATGACATACTGCTAGGTGTTATTCATGGTTTGTGGAAGCCCTGATGATTAGCAATCACTATGGGAGAATTGAAAGTAAGTTTCAATTCACAATCAATAATCAAGAGTTCTAATTGCCCATTGCCTCTCTAAAAAGAACCTAATGTATTGTACACCATGTAAAGTAATGATTGAAGAATATAACGAAGTTAAGTAAGAGCAATTAAATGGTTTAATTATTTATGGCTAGGATTATATTAATATGTTAATTAATCAAACGAATAAATTTGTTTTAGACCTTGAATTAGTGTTGTGCCGTAAGGTCCACGGGATTTGAATAGTTAGGCTTATTAACTTAAGTTGTATGACAACTTAACAACAAAATTCAAGAAGCCCAAAAGACCAAAGGCTTTGGGATGGCTAGCCATCAAACGAAGGAAATGAGAATTTCATTTATGCCACTTGCATGCAAGTGGGTACATATACATTTTTTAGCCCTTTCCCTTACCAGGAGGTTTTCCAGAGGAAAGAAGAGAGCACACAACACTCTCTTCTCACTCTATAAGGCAAGCTACATGGGAGAAGAACACTAGCATTTTCTTCCTCCTATGTCACTCATCTTGTTGCTCAATCATCCTTGGTGTCAATAGTTAAGGGTCTTCTACTTTAATGGCTTTTGGAGAATCCATTCAATTAAGCATCCAAATTCAAGGAGCAAAGTGATGAAGATGAAAGCTATGGAGTTCAACTAAAGGAGAAGAATGAAAGTCATTACTTTGGGTGATTATCCTTTGCAAAGCATAGAGGATCTTCAAAGGTATAAAGATTTCTCAACTCTGTTTGTGATTTAGAATTGGGTCTTTGGTCACAACTACTAAACTTTGAATGTCTTGGTTAAGTTTTATTTTTGAATGCATACAAGCATACTTTCACCATTTAATTGTTAAATGCATGCATATATGTTGCTCCATGAACTTATTGTATTCAAAAGTTATCCTTCATCTTGTTGCGTCGTGGGCATGTTAGAAGGGTTGGGCCTCTTCTCTTTGCTTTGCTGGAGCTGACGTCTACTTACCTCGAGCCTACACAAATGGGGATTGGGTTGTAGCATCTGGGATCTCAAATTATGCTACAAAGACTACAATTGCTGCTATTTGTGCCTAAGCTTGCTGGGGTTGCAAGTTCTGGGGTGCTACAGTGGTAATTACAATGCTCCACAGTGGCGGCAAGGATCCTCCAGTCATCAAGTTTAACTGCGAGGAGCTGCAGCGTGGGCCACGTTAAGGTATCCATTGTTCAATCCATGTCCAAGTACATAAGGTGTATCGTGTTGGAAACGTGCCCTAAAGTCAATCATACGATGATACTTTACGGACATTTCACATGTTAAACTAATCTAGTTTAATAAGAAGGACAAAGATTATTGTTTAAAGCCGTCTCATATAAATGTTATATGCTTAAACGATAAATCCAAAGAATATGTAATTGGGAGAATGTGATCTAAAGAAGTTAGATTCATGAGACCATTCTCTTTCGTATACATATCCTAAACGTTCCTAATCATAGGATTGCGAATTGGGCAGTGACTGGTCTCGAGTCATTGGTGTGACTGACACCAAGACAAGCATGTAGGTGCTTAATAGAGAATGAGTCCACTGAACGCAATCAACAAGAAGTTCTCATACTCATGTCACCTGAAAACTCATGGTTGGGATAATTTAAAGTAGTCCTTCGACCTGAGGCATCATATTTATCTTATGGTTAGGTCCTTGATCTTTGACTATGTCAAAGTCACTCTGTCAAAGAGTGTCCACGGTATAGTTGGGGTTAAGCCACTTAGCCATAGAGGCAAGTGAATGCGTAACAAGGGATCTCTAACCTTTAAACCAATTGAGGGAGAATACTCTATGATATGATTAGGAATCTCTGGCCAGAGTATGAATGAGATTTAGGAATTCGTTCCAAATCACATTCAAGGTAATCATATAAGTAAGAGAATCACATTGGATAGTAGACATGAATAAATTATCAAATTAAACAATGTGGTCAAGAGTAATGTATTAGAGAAAGACAGTATTGCATTGTAATCCCAAACTGAATAGGTTCTCCACCCCTTCTGATTAGCTTGGGAGCCATGACATACTGCTAGGTGTCACTCATAGTTTATGGAAGCCCTAAAGGTGTATAATCACTAAAGGGAGAATTGAAAAGTAAGTTTCAATTCACAATCGATTTGAAGAGTTCTAATCGCCCACTGCCTCGCTAAAAGGAACCTAATGGATCGTACACCGTGTAAGGTAGAGATTAAAGAAACAACAGAGATGAGTAAGGATAATTAAATGGTTTAATTATTTATGGTTAAGATTAATTAATATGTTATGTTAATTAATCAAACAAATAAGTTCGTTTTAGACCTCGGGTTAGTTTTGGGCCTCAACGCCCAATGGGCTTTGAATGTCAAGTCCAACAACTCAAGTTGTATGACAACTTGAAAACACAAAGGGCATGAAAGCCCAATGAACCCACATGGCTTCCCATAAAGAGTGTATGGGAGAATTGGTTTTAATTTCAATTATGCCACTCAATGTTAGTGGATATAGAAAGGAAATTATAACCCATTCTCAAAAGGGTTTTCTAGAGAGAAAAGAGAAAAACACAAAAGCTCTCGCTTCTCTTAGGAGGCCAGCCACCCTAGGAAGAATGGACTAGTATCCATTTCTTCCTAGGTCACTCATCTCTTCCTCAATGCTCTCCTTGGTGTGGAAACTTAGAGGTTCCCTTTCTTGAGAACTTGGAGAATCCATTCCTTCATCCATATCCAAGAAGTCATGGAGCCAAGAAGCAAAATTCCTTCATCCACATCCATGGAGCCAAGAAGCAAGGAGACAAAGGAAAGAAGGCCCTAACATGGGTGAATATCCTTGGCTAAGTAAAGAGGTGCTGCAAAGGTATAAACTTCCTCAACTCTTTTCTTTAAGATTTAAGTTGAGTCTTAGTTCACCACAACTACTACGCCTTAAATTTCATGGGTAAAGTTTTTTTTTTTTTTTTTAGTGCATACAATCATGATTCTGCCTTTAATTGTTAATTGCATACATAGATGTTGCTTAAATGAACATATGCCCTGAAAGTCAATCTTTGGAAGAAACCTTTCAGGACAATGTCTGAATGTATGGTTAAGTCTAATACATCAAAAGGGGCAAAGTCACTTATTAGGACTATCTCAATGAACAATCGACATCCAAAATAGTGAGTCCATGGACAATGGATCGATGGAAGACATAATCTAAAGATGTTAGACTACATAGACCTTCTTCACATAACCATAATGTCCAAAATGGTTCCTGGTCATAGGATTGTTACAGATGTCTGCTTCAATTGGAAAAATGGCAAGTCTCAAGCCATTCGTGTAGAGACACTAAGACAAATATGTAGATGCTCCTTAAAGGAATGAGTCCACTAAACACAATCAAACAAGAGTACTTGCATGAAGGTCTACTCAAATGTCAAGCAACTCCACTAGTTGAAATAATGTAAGTAGTCTTTTGACTTGAGACATCACAGTTGTCCAGTGGTTAGGTCCTTGATCTTTGATGGTGTTAAAGGCATTCCATTCGAGAGTGTCCATGGAATTGTTGAGGTTAAGTTGCCTAATCATGTAGACATGTGAATATTCAACAAGGAATCTCTAATCCTTAGTACGAGATGAAGAATATGCTAAGATATGATTCGGATCTTCGGTCGAAGCATCGAGCGTAATGATGGAAGGCATTCTTATACGACTCAATTATTTCATATGACATAGTGTAATCACATTAGGGGTTTGACATAAAGTATCCATACATTAGTAATGTGATTAAGAGTATTGATTTAGAGAAGGATCGAATTACATTGTAATTCAACTGAATAGGTTCTCTGACCAAATTCTACATTAACTTGGGTAGCCATGATATATGGTTAGATGTCACTCATGGCTTGTGGGTCCTTCTTGATAATTGAATAAGTAGTCATCAAAGAAGAAGGAGAATTAAAAGTAAGTTTTAATTCACTAAGTGATTGGATAAATACAAATCAATTGGATTGGTACCAATCACCTCACTACCTCGCTAATTAGAACATAAAATGATTGTACACCCATACACACTTGTGGTGAGACAACTAAAGGATGATGGAATTAATTAATTGGATTAATTAAGTGCTATGATTAATTAGAAAGTCTAAAGAAATCATAGAAGCGATGAAAGATCGTTTCAGGCTTAAAGAAAAAGTTCGGGTTCATTCAGGCCTATTGGACCGAAACCCATTGGCCTTTTTTATTCAAGCATAGGATGACATGAAATGATAAAAACCCAAAGTCCAAACCAACACTAAGTGGCTGGCAAGGATGAGGAAAGAAGAGAAAGAAAGGGTCAATTAGTTGACTTACTTCTTTTACCTTTATAAGGGGAGTTTAATGAAAAAGTTTCATTAGGGCATTTGTGTGTTATTTTTAACAAGAGAAAAATAAGTCTTTCTCTCTCTCTCTCTACACACACGCATAGACGACCACCAAGAGGAGAAAATAGCTAATCATCTCTTCTCCTTTTAGTTATTCCAACATCCATCTCACTAAACTAGTGGGTGTGAATCTTTAGAGGTCTTCTATACTTGGAGGCTTAAGAAGAACCATGGAGCTCTAAATCTTTAAGGTGGAGGAAGCAAGGAGGAGGCTAGACTCAAGGAGTTCAAAGAGCAAAGAGCTTGGAGGTGGTCCATCATTGGTCTAAAGTCTAGATCAAGAGGTATAAAACTCAAACTTCACTTTGTTCTTCAATATTTTGTTTGATGCATTATATATGAACCTATGCTTCTTGAAGGGAATTTGCATGACTATAGATTTGATAATATGTGATAATATGCTTCCACTGCTTATGTATATAAATTTAGAATTGTATATGCATGCTAGTCACTAGAAATCCCATAGAAATCTCAAAATTTCCCTTCAAGTGGTATCAGAGCCAAAGGTTTATATTTGATGTGCCCTTTTGGATTTTATACAAATGGGTTTTTTTTGATTTTATGTTTGACATTTTATTTCTTCATTCTAGATATGGTTAACCTTTGTTTTTCAAGTGTTTGAGAAATGTATTTTCAAGAGTTGAAAAGAATTGTATGCAAAAGTGTTTTGGACGCATGGATGAAGAGTGAGTTTTGCAAAAATTTGGGGCTTTTTTACCCTAGGGGAGGGCACGGTTTTGGGGAGATTTTTGGGCTTGTGTTTGTGTTTTATTTTGAGTCACACACACATACTTTTAAGCTAGAAAGTCAAGGCCTTGTCACTTTTGTTTTTGGTTTGAAAAACCACCAAAAAGGTGCAAATCTTGAAATTGTTTTCATGGTTTTGTTCTTGATGTTCATATTTTTGTTCTTGAAGTTCATACTTTGATTTTGTATTTGGGTATTAAACTTTCTATTAAGAACCTTCCTTGTTTTTCTCCATCCTAGACTAGACTAGGAGACCATACCCAAATCATACCTTTAAGGTCAACAAGTACAAAAAGGTTACAAGGAAAAGAATGAGCTCTTATTTTCTTTTGAAATAAAGGGAAAAAGTTTTACCTTCTCCCTCTTCCCATCACCATAACCAGCCATACCTAATGATGAGCCCTGTGTGGGCTCTTTTGCAATTTTAAAAGGTTGTTTATACTTTATAGTATTTTCGATTTGACCCATAACTTTTAATATTTGCATTTTGGCCCCACCTCACTAGAGGACAAAAATATATTGATATTTATCTTTGTTTGTAGTTTAAACTCATCATAAAATTATACCCATATGTACTAAATTTAATTGATTATGTTGCATTCCAATTTAATTATTTAATGTGATTTAGAAAAATGGTTGACTATGGACTCGTGCCTTGAATGATAATTGAGCTATGAGAAAGGCCGCTAAATTCAAATGGTTTGAACCTTGGGAATGTATTTTAATTACTATTTCAATTGGACCACAACACGTTAGACGTTAATCTTTCTCTCCCTCTTAGTATATGTAATTTGTAGGAATTTGTACAAATCGGTTTGTAATTCTCATTACTTCTCTATGAGTTAATTCCCTCTAGTGCTAGACTAGAGTTTCTTTACACTACAACATATTAGCTCATTTACCACGACAATTTTATCACGGGCTTTGTAAGCCCGTTATAAAAAGTACAAATTCACCACAAGCATAATAAGCATGTGATGAATAACGACTTTTTATCACAGGCAAATTTTAGTCCATTATAAAATAATAGTAAATGACCACAGACAATGTTGCACGTTGTAAATATACCAAGTCACCATGAACAATACTCATGATCAATATTGTTAATTTCCACATCATTTTTCTTTCATCTACCACATGCAATACTCATGATCAATATTATTAATATTCACAGCTCTTTTCTTTTGTCTACCACGGACATTATGTGTGAGAATCATTTATACTTGATTGAAATTAAACATTTAGAGAAGGCAGCAAGCCAAAATTTTGAACATCTTTAAAATTGAAATTTTCACATAACTCCTGCACAGTTCCCAAAGTATAAAGGAAGTGAAACAGTTAATCTCATCAATCAAACACTCATCTCTGCAGTTCGAAGAAGAATCGAGGTCGACCAGATTGTCGTCTCCTTCCTGTCCTTCCTAGTTCAAAGAAGAACCAAGGTCGAGCTTCACGTTTCTGTGAACTCTCTCAACACTCTCTTTTTCTTTTAGATCTTACTTTTTTAAATCTTGTAGGTAAAGGTGAGCAAAAGATTAAGCGATTTCATCACTTTTGCAACAACAAAAAAAGAGAGGAAAAGGTGATGATTTCAATCCCAAATACCCTCCTTATGTCACGTTGCTACTTCAATTTATGTTTTCGTTTTCTCTGCAATTGCACGTTGCTCTCTTCATAAAATATGCAGATATGAACACATCTAGAACATGGGTTGAATGAATTGGGATTTTTCATATTTCAAAATTTCATTTTCTGGAGAAAAGGTTCAGCAATTTGGGATTTTTTTGTCATCCAAATTTGTGTTTCCTAGAGAATGATATTATGTTGTAAGTTCTTATATTTTGAGATGGGTATTTATTTGCTCTCTTGAAGAAATTTGTTTATATTTTTTGGGTGATGGGTGAGGTTTTTTCAATCGCCGTTGTCAACGAATACTTTCATTGCTAATTATGTCATTTTTAAGGAAAATACTTTCATATGTTAAGATTGTCATCCTTGATTTTTTTCAATTTTCAGGAGAAAAATCAACTAGCTTTTAATTTGATCTAATCAATTATAAATTAGAATTTTTTTTTGTGTTTTAATATATAATTTAACACATATTCTATTTATAGATAATGTTGTTTTGGTAGAACGCTATAATGAATCTTTATTTTGTTTTTCCTTTTATTTCGAATCGACTAAAATTTAGAGAAAAAAAAAATGGTCTGCTCGAAAGTAGTCCCGTGGATTTTGATATTGTTGTGGTTGACTTGCCTTTTTATGGTTCATTTGATGAGAACTTACATATCAAAATTAGATGTTTTGGTTACTCTCTTTTCATTAGTTTTTTTATTGTATTCATTGACCAATACTGTGCTTTGATTTTTGAAAATAGAAGGTTATCATTTTTGCTTCTAGGGAGATGCAAAGAAGGTTATCCTCTGCTTCCAGGAAGGATGCTCCCTTGTTTGTTGTGGGTGTGAACGAAAAGGAATACAAGCCGAACATCCACATTCTTTTGGCGTACTCCATTATGGGTGTAACGGAGAGAGGAACTCTTTTTCCAAAATAGAGATTAGTAGTAAAAGTTTTCCCAAAAGATTAGGTAAATAAATAACTCCTGCCCAAGTTTGAATCTCTTTGTTGTTGTGGGTGCTTACTCATTTTCAATGCCAACAATTGTGTAATTTTACTTTTTTTTTTTTTTTTTTTGTTTCAATTGTTCATAGGGTAACAACAACATGCTTAGAGTATTTCACTTCAAAGGATTCGTTTGGAGGTGTTCAAGAAAAAGTGAAGTCTTTCAAGTGATGATTTCCTTGTTATTAGTGGCCTATCTAGTGCTTCATGTGTAGTGTGGTATTTTGTAGTAAAAATTAGTGGTGGTGTTGTTAGCTTTGTACATCTTGTAATAAATTTGAGTATATGATTATTCATGAAATATTGTATTATAGTAAATCTGCAAATTTGTTGATCTTGTATATATTTAAATTATTATTTTTTTAAATTTTGATAAACTTTTTATAACAGGCATTCGCCATGGTCAATTAGTAAACCATAATTGTCATAACGCGTGGTGTTAGATTTTAATTTACCATGAGCTTGGTCCATGATTAGTATCTAATTACCAACGCTCTTTGCCCATGGTATAAATTAAGACTTTTCATCACGTCTTGATTCCTAACGGGCATAATGTATGTGGTGGATTGCAATCTACCACGGGTATCCACCGTGACAGATGAACTATTTTGTTCTAGTGTTAACTAGTGCTAAGGAAACATTAAAAGGGATTTTTAATGAGACTAAGAATTGTTGGGTCCAACGCCCTTATTAGCAATGAATGATTGTCTTTCGTTTCTAATGGCTCAATGAAAAATGTTTTAATTGGATTGAAAACACGTAACTAAAACAACACTACCTTCCCTAGATCTTATTAAACAATGTTGGCTCGTTGTTGAATCAACCTTATAAGTCCATAGTCATCCAAAGAGCCTAAGATAACTTAAAGTCCAAAGTCAAAAGGAATGCAAACTTCTCTTAGTAGTAGTATATACTTCCAATATTTTGAAAACTTGTTTTGATATTGATTTGTTTTGAGAAAACGAATAGTGAGAGTATCATACGCTACTAAACTAAAATGAACTTAATTAGTAGTTATATATATCTCCAATTTTTTGAAAAATTATTTTGATATTGATTTGTTTTGCGAAAACGAATAGTGGGGATGTCATATACTACTAATCTCATTTTCCTTGGACTAGTAGTTGTAATAGGACACAATTTATTTCAAAATGTTTAAATAAATAAAATGATGAGACCTTAAAATCCCTAAATCAACATCCAATATTAAGTTGAAAGCGTAGAGGTGCTTTGAATACTTCTTCGTGGCCTTCCACCATGGTAGGCTCCAATCATTTATGACTCATACACCGCCTTCACCCTATCATAGGGGAGTTCAAAGTATGTGCTTATACTCAGGAGGAGTCTATTTCAACATTTGATATGGTGAAGGTAGGCAACGAGTATGGCCAACATCATGTCATTGTGAGGTCATACTAGGACCCCTATCTGAACTGGCATGGTGGGTCAAAACTTAACTAAGAGAAATGGTGCCAACATCATATCATTGTCAGGCATTGTTCTCTAGAGGCCAACTAGATGGGTAATCACAAGAGGTTGTTGTGAATGGGTAACTCTACCCTCTCATTATTATTTTTGCTAGCCAACATATCATTGTGAGATGGGCTTGGTAATAGTGAGCCTTCCATCACCCGCTAGGAGCTTTCTTTGAAATCTCCCTGATTCCATCTTGAGGGATATGAGATTTGCCAAAAATAGGGGGTGGTGTCATTTGGTTCAAAGACCCTAATCGTTTGACTTAATCAACAATCAAACTAATTTATTTTATTGTTATGTATTTAGATATTGTTGGAAACACACTATCAAAGATACTTGACAAGCATTGCCTTGAGGGGCACAATTTCCCATCTTGGTACCGTAATGTCAAGATTCTCTTAACCTTGGAGAAAATTGTTTACGTACTAGACAAGGCTCTACCTCACATACCTCCTAGCCCTGAGGCCACTGAGGATGAGTGTGCTAAGTATGACAAGCACGTTGAGGATGATACACAAGCCAAGTGCTATCTGTTGGCTTCCATGAATGAGGAGCGGCAGAGATAACATGAGGGTATGGATAGTGCATCCTGCATCATACTCTATCTTGCAGAGTTATATGGTGAAGGGACGCGCAACAGTTGCTTCAGCACTGTCAATGAACTTGTGAAGACCAAAATGATCAAGGGAGCTCCAGTGCATCAATATGTACTGAAGATGATTGGATTCATTGAACAATTGGAGAACTTAAGTACTCCACTTGATGGAGAATTGGCCCAAGACTTCATCATCGCTTCTCTTTCTAATTCGTTCTCACAGTTCGTAATGAACTACAATATGAACAAGATGGATAACACTCTTTCTAAATTACTAAATATGTTAGTAACCGCCGAGAGGACTATGAAGAAAAAGAGCGTTGTAGGGACGGCAACTGTGGTCCACAACAAGCCATCCAGTGCCAAGGCCAAGCCGAAAGGCAAAGGCAAGGGGAAAGAGAAGAATTCATCCATGAAGGAAAAATTTTATCCTAGCTAAAAATATGTGAGAACATTTGAACACATATGCAAACTAATAACACTTTAAAGTAGGCATGCATTCAAAAACATTTCTAAAACCCATGACTTTCAAAGCCTAGTGAATAGTGAAACACAAGACTCTTTAACAACATTAAAGAGAAGAAAGGATTTTGAGATTCATTACCCTTGAAGCTCATCCTTGTTTACACAAAGGATTCACCCAAGTGGAGGGCCTTCAAGTCACCTCCTAGCTCCTTAGATCTTCCTTGTGATTTTCTTCCCTTTTGATGCTCCTTTGCTCCTTGAGGATTTGAGGAAAGGAACTCCAAAAATACCAAAAGTTTGGTACCTCTAAGTCTCTACACCAAGGATGATGGTGTGAAGATGAAATGGATTACCTAGAGGAAGTTGGATGCTAGTGAACTCCCCTAGGAAGGCCGTCCTCTATAGAGAAAAAGGAGAAAACGTTTATCTTCTTTGCCTCAAGAAAACCTTAGTGAGAGAATGGCTATAAAGATGCCTTTATACCACCTCAAATATGAGTGGTAAACTTGCAATTAACCCAAGTTTGCTACCACTCACCCTCTGGCCGGTTTTGAATTTATATTTGGGTTAATTTCCATTTTGTTTTAGTTGTCTCATAACTTAAACTCAATAGGCCTTGTGGACCAAAACCCTTTTGGGCCCCGAGACCCGAAACTAACTTAAAAGCCCAATACGAACCTTTCGTATAATTAATTAATCTTGACCATTCCCAATTAAACCATTTAATTGCTTATCCATCTCATTTATATTTCTTCACTTTCATCCTTAATCGGTGTACGATCCATTAGGTTTCAATTAACGACGCAGTGGGCGATTGTTACTCTTAACAATCGATTGTGAATTAAAACTACATTTCAATTCTCCCTTTGATGAAGATTAGTGTTTGCTAATCTTTAGGGCTTCTACAAACCATGAGTGACACCTAACAGTATGTCATGGCTACCCAAGCTAAGTAGAAGTGGTTGGAGAACCTATCCAGTTACAATTACAATGCAATATGGTCTTTCTCTAATACAATACTCTTAATCACATTGTTTGAGTGATAGTTTGTTTCATGTCTACTATCCAATGCGATACTTCTTTATATGATTCAATTGAATATGATTTGGAACAAACTTCCTAAGTTATATTCGTATGCTTTGGCCAAAAACTCCCGAATCATATCTCAGAGTATTCTCCCTTCATCATGGAAGGTTAGAGATCCCTTGTTATACATTCATATGCCTACATGACTAGATAGGTTAACCCCAACAATGTCGTGGACACTCTTAATGGAATGCCTTTGACATGATCAAAGATCAAGGACCTAACCATTAGACATCTATGATGCCTCAGGTCAAATGACTACTTTTCATATTGCAACTTATGAGTTCTTACATGACATGAATGTTTGAACTCTCCTTTGATCGTAGTTCAGTGTAGTCAATTACCTTTTGAGCACCTATATGTTTATCCCAGTGTCCAACACTAAATGACTTGAGGCTAGTCATACTCACACTTGAGTTAACATAACACATACTAACCTTAGCGGATTGTCAATGCCTAATTGGCTATCCTATGGCTATGAACTTTTTAGGAATGAACATAAGAGAAAGGTCTCGTTAATCTAACTTACTTAGATCATTTCTCTCTTAGATTAAATACATTCCTCGAATTCCTTTATTGTTTAAACACATAATACAATAAATAGTGATTAACAATAAACTTTGCCCTTCATTAAACATATAATAGTTTAACACAATAAGTATTCCAAAAGCTATTACATCAAATCAGTGGCTTTGTGGGCATACTTCCAACAATCCACTCCTAAGGCCCAAGGAAGAGTGAAGAAGAAGAAGAAGGCAAAGGAGCCCAAAGGACCCTGTTTCCACTGTGGAAATGACAGAGGCATTGGAAGAGGAATTGCAGGTCTTACCTCGCATCTTTTAAGGACAAACGACAAGGTATGAGTTTGTTCTTACGTTCAATTCTAATTGTTAGATCTTCTAATTTTATATGAGATATAAAAGGCTAATCACTTATGCAATTATATGTAGGTGAAGCGGTGAAGTAGCCAAGTAGAGGATGGACAAGCAAGGAAGAAGGATGGAGAAAAAGAGTTCGACACATTATTTTTTGCTACTACTTAGGAAGACATTAGGCATTTAAAGATAGTCTTTAACTTGTTCTTAAATTTGTTAAGAACTTATTATGTGGCTTCATGTAATGGAAGATCCATTTTGGTGCCTATGTGAAGGCATATAATCAGTCTCTAATGTTAAAGCTAATTCTTTTGTATTGAACTTTATGAATGTTTAACTTATCATATTAATGTAATATGGTGAATGCCTTCTACTATATTTGTTCCTTAAAATAATGTTATGAATTGAATATTGTCTTGTTATATTCAAGATGAAATACAAAATAATCTATCACTTACATAATGTGATAACCAAACTTTAGATCTATCAATTAAAGATAGGTCTCACATGCTGACCTTAGATGGATACAATGAATCTTTAGATTTGGTTCCAGTTGCCTTCATATGAGTTCTATATGTATTGAGAAAGTCTAGAGATTCCTTTCTAGTAGAAAAGGAAGATCACATTATAATGAAGTGAATAGGACATAAGGAAATGTTTCTTATGTGGTTATAACTTACTTGAGCACAATCACCAAGATCACTCTTGGTTCAACTAGTAGTTTTGAACAACTAATTGGACATTCTTAAATTGTCTTAAGAAATGTCAAATGTGTTAGTAGTAACCAAACCAAGAATAAGTGTCTAAAATCTATAAAAGGTTTAAGGACCTTTGTCACTTAATAACAAGGCATCAAATTAATGGAGTTAAAATGAAAAGCTTAAAAGGTTTGAAGCTTCTCCTCTATCTCCTCTACCCGTGTATTCATAATTGTACACTTTGAATGTATAATGCAATTTCTCATTAAGGTCATGAGAAACAGTGGGAGGTGAAAAAGGGATATAAACTTAAATATGATTAGTTTATAGTTGTCTATAATTAATGGTATGATACCATTAATTACACAACATAGAATCTTCAAGTGTTAAAGATTCTACGTTGTGTAACATCCTAAGGGTGACCTATGGATGTTGGTTTCACCAACCTAGCATATAATGGGTATGTTGGGAGTTGGCCATCATTCTCTTTTATGAGAACATGCTAATCTCAAAGCAAATGGACAAGTAGATGAAACAAAAGGGAATAGTTTCAAATTGAGTCATAACATAGTGTTTAACGACAAGACAACCCGGTTTTGGCACCTCATGTAGCTAATATGCTCTATGTAGTTTTGATGAAGAATTAAACTAGCCACCTAGAAGGTATGGTTGAATTCCAATATCCTTAGTAGGAGCCATGCTTCCACTAATGATTTGGATAATTCTTATATGACTACTTTAAAGGTCTTAGTATGACTAAAACTTGAAGTATGGTGTTTGACACCATATAATTTAAATGAATGGACTTAATAAAACAAGTCACACATATCTAATGGGATTACTTGAGAAGGAATTCTTTTGTGTATGTTCATTTAAATAACTTGTGTTAGCTGGAGTTGTTGATTGTCCCAAAACTGTTGAGACATCATCAACAAGCTAATGGATCTTAAAGATTGTCAATAGATCCAAGACAAGTTAGTGGGAGCTATATGCATTCGAATCAAGAAATTCTAAACGTTAATTTTTCCTTGAAGTTCTGAATGAATGCTTAGTTACAAGAAGGCCAGTGGGAGATATGTCAAATTTTTTAGAAACATAGTTTTAAAATTAAGTCTATTGGATAGACTTAGTGAAAAACGAATGTTACTCAAAATGACAAATGGTGACATGGTCAATTTGAAGTGTAGGCTTAAAATTGGACTTGACATAAATGAAGTCAATTAAGAATAGACTTATTGATACAGTTAGGCTGTCTCAAGTATGTTGTATAAGGTAAAGAAATCTCAAATGTTGAAGATTAGTGAAAGCATTTCTTCATATGACAGAAAAATACTTTCATGATCCTTATAAAGAATATGTCACAAAACCACAAAAGTACACATGTAGACTTGTGATGTGATATCCAAAGGCGAATAACCACCATGGTAAGCACTTTGGGATATTACTAAAGCCCAGGATCAGAACCATAGCAACTGATAGAGTATTATTACCTTTGAGAAAGGAATATCAGAGTGAGACTCTGGAAGCATGCATTCACTTAGGTTATAAACCAAAGTGACAATAACCCATTTTAACAAATGGAACTTCATGGTGGATGAAGTACTAATCATATGAATGTATTGTTAGTATGGTACTACAATGGTCTCAAGGTTGGAGCAAAGTTTGTATAAAGTATACAAACGAAATATATATCGATATATATATTAAAGTTTTAGAAGCTACTTCAAAATGTGTTTCGAATAGACGGGGTTCATCTTGAACCAATGATTGAATCCAAACAATAAGGTCGTTAGTAGGATATTGCGACATAATGGGGCGATAGATCAAGCCATGAAATCAAGGTCTCATCAAAGTATTTGAACACAAGAAATTGACAACGTTAAATTTTTTGGAAACATTTAATAAGTATATCCTCTTAAGTTAAAAAGGATTAATACATAACGTGGTTAACCGACAAGCTTAAGTTCAGTTGATTAGTATCTATAAGATGCACCAGCAATTGACTTTAGTGCAAGTGGGAGATTGTTGTAGATATGCCCTGAAAGTCAATCTTTGGAAGAAACCTTTCAGGACAATGTTTGAATGTATGGTTAAGTCTAATACATCAAAAGAGGTAAAGTCACTTATTAGGACTATCTCAATGAACGATACTGGTCCAAAATAGTGAGTCAATGAACAATGGATCGATGGAAAAAAATAATCTAAAGATGTGAGACTACAGAGACCTTCTTCACATAACCATAATCTCCAAAAAAGTTCCTAGTCATAGGATTGTTAGAGGGACGCTGACAATCCGGATAGACTAGTACGCACTTTGTCTGCTTCAATTGGAAGGATGGCAAGTCTTAAGCTATTCATGTAGAGACACAAAGATAAGTATGTAGGTGCTTGTTAAAGGAATGAGTCCACTGAACACAATCAAATGAAAGTACTTGCATGGAGGTCTACTCACATGTCAAGTAAGTAACTCTACTGGTTCGAATAATGTAAGTAGTTCTTTGACCTGAGACATCATAGCTGTCCAGTGGTTAGGTCCTTGATTTTTGATGGTGTCAAAGGCATTCCGTTCGAGAATGCCCACGACATTGTTGTGCTTAAGTTGCCTAATCAACATTGTTGTGCTTAAGTTGCCTAATCATGTAGACATGTGAATGTTCAACAAGGAATCTCTAATCCTCAATACGAGAGGAAGAATACTCAAGATATGATTCGAAAATCTTCGGCCGAAGTATCGAGCGTAATGATGGAATGCATTCCTATATGACTCAATTGAATCATATGACATAGTTTAATCACATTATGGGTTTGACATAAAGTATCCATACCCTAGTAATGTGATTGAGAGTATTGATTTAGAGAAGGATCGAATTACATTGTAAGTCAACTGAATAGGTTCTCTGACCAAATTCTACATTAGCTTGGGTAGCCATGATATATGGTTAGATGTCACTCATGGCTTGTGGGTTCTTCTTGTTAATTGAATAAGTAGTCATCAAAGAAGAAGGAGAATTAAAAGTAAGTATTAATTCACTAAGTGATTGGATAAATACAAATCAATTGGATTGGTACCAATCACTTCACTGCCTCGCTAATTAGAACCTAAAACAATTGTACACCGATACACACTTGTGGTGAGACAACTAAAGGATGATGGAATTAATTAATAGGATTAATTAAGTGCTATGATTAATTAGAAAGTCTAAAGAAATCATAGAAGCGATGAAAGATCATTTCGGGCGTAAAGAAAAAGTTCAGGTTCATTCGAGCCCATTGGACCCAAACCCATTGGTTTTATTCAAGCATAGGATGACATGAAATGATAAAAACCCAAAGTCCAAACCAACACTAAGTGGCCGGCCAAGGATGAGGAAAGAAGAGAGAGAAAGGGTCAATTAGTTGACTTACTTCTTTTACCTTTAGAAAGGGAGTTTAATGAAAAAGTTTCATTAGGGCTTTTGTGTGTTCTTTTCAATAGGAGAAAAATAAGTCTCTCTCTCTCTCTACACACACATAGCCGGCCATCAAGAGGAGAAAATAGCTAATCATCTCTTCTCCTTTTGGTTATTCCAACATCCATCTCACTAAACTAGTGGGTATGGATCATTAGAGGTCTTCTATACTTGGAGGCTTAAGGAGAACCAAGGTGCTCTAATTCTTTAAGGTGAAGGAAGCAAGGAGGGAGGCTAGACTCAAGGAGTTCAAAGAACAAAGAGCTTGGAGGTCGTCCATCATTGGTCTACAGTCTAGATCAAGAGGTATAAAACTCAACCTTCACTTTGTTCTTCAATATTTTGTTTAATGCATCATATATGAACCTATGCTTCTTGAAGGGGATTTGCATAACTATAGCTTTGATAATATGTGATAATATGCCTCCGTTGCTAACGTATATGAATTTAGAATTGTATATGCATGCTAGTCACTAGAAATCCCATAGAAATCTCAAAATTTTCTCTTCACTCGTGGTTTCAGAATTTTCAGTCATTCTATCCTTTCTCTAACCACGAATCAATGAATTTAAAAATTCAGAGATTTGGAGCGTTAGAGAATTCGAGGTGGGGGAAACTCCGAAAGGAATTACGAGAGCTTCTTTGAGATTTAAATCAAGCTTTCATTGGAAACACCAATTTGTGGTATCAAAAATCTACCATCTTCAATCTTGATGAATTTGTGTATACAAAATAATTAAACACCTTCGATCAATGACTAAAGCCACGTGCCTACAGAGTGTGGGCGTTTGGTCAATGGATCTCCGATTCCTAAGTTAATATGTCCTAAAAGAGAGAGTTGTGAGCTTAATTGTGTAGCAAAAGCTTACCATATATAATCTGGTGGAGAATTGGGTGTTTATAGAGCTAGGACGGCTACATGTGTAGGGTTTTCCACGCCATGTGGCCACATCCAACTAGCCAAGGTGTGTCATCTGTTGGATAGAGAAAAGAATTATTCTTAAGATATTATTAAATAAATATCATCTTGGAATTATGTCGTGAAATCCTTGATTGGATTTGATTGTGATTCCTTACTTGATTGACTTGATCTTCAATAAGGAAAGTATAAAGATAAGGATTTAGTTATTAATCCTATCTTTAATACCTTGACTTTTCTCCTTGCCATGGGCAGGAGAGCTTGGAGAAGTCTTAGTGAGCAACTCAGGCATTCTTGAAGGTTGAAATTTGCATGGAACGGATGTGGGTCTCGCCAATTTATAAGTTCTCGTCACCTGTAGGTAAAAGTCTACGTTCAGCTGCAGGATTTTTTTGTATTATTTTTTGCTTTACACATATGACGTGGTTGTTAATGTCTAGATTATTATTGAAGTATCAACGTGCTTATTTTCTATTGACGACACATCGCATAATTTACGAATTTAATCTAAAAAGTTGGTTTGCTTATCATTTCTCATCAAGTGAGTGGGAGACTAAGAGAGGGTAAGAATAGAGAACAGCTAGTTGCTAGCCTGTGCCGAATGCGTGTGCTACCAAAAGACACGGCAATTTGTCTACATAAAATTTTTCAAATTAAAATCATTAATTTTTCATGGAATGTACTCGTAAAGTTTCAAATTAAAACCCTAAAGCCTGTACAAGACCAAACTGCTCGCTGGCTGCATTGCCATGACTTTTTGAGCGAGTCCCTCCCACGAAATCCCCACGCTATAACCTTGCTAATCACAATATATATATCCTGCATTCAAATCTCTCGCTCATGACCTTCTCCAACTCTCTCTCTCACAAACATAATTAATATCTTACCTTCCTTCTATATTCCCCACATCCAAAATTTACATAAATCCCCACCTGGCTTGCGACATAAATCTGTAACTATATATAAATAGATAGATTATACATATCATGGCTGACCTAAATCCAAATCCAAACACTTCCAACAACGTGAATCAAACATTAGACCAATCCACACCCGCTTATCCGCCTCTAGTAGTATCCCCCATTGACTTTCACCCTCCTCCCCCTACATTACTCCACCCAACACACCAAACCCTTCCTCAGGCTCCTCCACCGCACGCTCCACACCAAGTCCTCCCACATTCTCTTCTCACTCCCCACCGCCACACGCACGAAATTACTGAAATACCCTCCCCCTCCGCTAGGGCAGCACTACATATTCAAACACTACCAAAACCCACCACCATGGCCTCGAGCTCTTCCGGGAAGCACCCCAGGTACCATGGCATCCGGTGTCGGGGTGGAAAATGGGTGTCGGAAATCCGAGAGCCACGGAAGACCAAGCGTATTTGGCTTGGCACTTTCCCAACTCCGGAGATGGCTGCAGCCGCCTATGATGTGGCCGCACTTTCACTCAAGGGTACCAATATTGCTCTCAACTTTCCAAGTTTCATTGGATTGTATCCAGTGCCACCGTCCACATCAGCAATTGATATTCGTACTGCCGCGGCTACTGCAGCCGCAGCTCTACGAAAGAATAGTGACCCGATGGAGAGTCCAAAAATGGGACAAATGCAGAAGCACGAGGGTGATGATATGATGAGTAGTACAAGTTTGGCGTCGTCTGTTGGAGACTTTATTGACGAGGAAGAGCTTTTCCAGATGCCGAATTTGCTGGTGGACATGGCAGAGGGAATGCTGGTGTCTCCGCCGAGAATGAACGACTCGCCGCCGTCTGATTATGATGACTCGCCCGGAAATTCAGACGGAGGAGAAGACCGTCTGTGGAGCTATTACTGATTATGCAGCTCACAACCCTGAATTAATTGCACGCTCAAAAATAAAGATAATTATAATATGAAGAAGGGAAACAGAAAAACAGAGAATTATATATGTGGAGGCAATACGTACCTCGGAGGCTGTAAATAACAACACGATCGACGGCATGGTTATGAGTTTTGATACTTATCAACCAGGCAGAGGTCAAATTTTGAAACTGAGGCAGGCAGTGAAGTGAGTTCATGAGTTTGGTGTGCTTTTGCTTAATTATGATTTATGAATTTATGAGTACATGTACAACTGTTGCGCGAGGAGTTTGACCTTTTTCTCTTCGTTCTTTTATTTTCTTTTATATATTAAGATTGTGAGGTTTCCTTCTGAATTATTGCTTAATTATATCTGAGTTTCTTTCTTCCTATCTGCTTCCTAGGATTTTCATATGCATGGGTAGCAAAAACTACTGCATATATATGCTTCATCTTCTTCTTCCTATTTATAGTGGATGTCCTTGTCTCTGTGGGTCAATCCTCTTCTAGTCGGTGTGTTTGCATGCTGACTCTTTCTTCTAAAGTTTTGAGGCACTGATTACTCTAAAGGCTTATCTTTGTAGTTTCTGTTTGCTTAATTATCCAAAAAAAAAAAAAGGAAAATTTTCATTAAAACCTATCAAATGTTGTGAAATGTGGTGCAAATGCCACATATGTGTTTGTGTAAGAAAGCTAACCAAAGGTAAACTTTGGTGAAAGTCATTGAATGCATTGGATGAAAATGTCATAGAGAAGTGAAATATTTTCTTCTTGTAGGTAAGAAGTTGTCGGATCAAACTCCTATACATAGAGGCATGTCTGTAACTTCATTACAACACACCGGATTAAGAGTGAAAGCAATAATACCAATATCCCCATCTCTCTTTATCTGCATCCTTTGTGTGATATAATTCACCCGTTCTGCTTCTATCTAGCAAAAATTATTTCTCTCACTTTTGCCTATTTATAACACGTTATCAACATGACTCTCTAACTCTAACCAGTTTTCATTTCCTTCGCCGAAAAATGCTTCCTCCAAGGATCTTATTGTTCCTCTTCTTTCTTTGCCTCACCTGCTTGGTGTTTCCTCGCCATGAGCTGCTAGCACCATGCCTTCTCCTAGTCCTCAATTTGAGAATTACTTATATTTTTTTATTTCTTGTTTGGTGTAACTTTTGATTACTAACACAGTGTTTATTTTATATTAATTTTATTGTAAATTTAGATGATGCGATACAATTCGCCCATCTTGAACTACATATTTAATTTTATTGCAATTTTAGATGGTGCAGTATAATCACCCATCCTGCACTGCATATTTAATTTTCCTGCTGCTTGAGTGGTGCGGTATAATCACCAAGCCTACACTATATTATTTCAATGAGAGTGGTGCGGTACAATAGCCTTCCTCATTAATGTCTAAATTATATAAATCTCAAGTTTGAAGTTTTGGAGTGCTTATCATTTTGGCTTGAAGTTCAAAATGAAAAATTTGTAAGAATCAGAAATTCTAATATCATCCAGAATCCATATTATTACAAGTTCTTACACATCTCATTTTCTTTCAGAAAAATGGCAAACTTGGCAAAGCTTGATTTTGTTGTCATTGATATTATTGGGAAAAACTAACTTACTTAGGTAGTAGATGTCAAGATCCATCTGGAGGCAGGAAATCTTGGAGAACCATTAAGGAGGGAACCGATGCATCCTCTCAAGATCGGGCGAATATCATGATCTTTATTCCTCGCCGCGTCGATGAATGATTAAAGAGCGAATATGTAGCAGTTGAAGATTCACTGGCTCTTTGGCATGCACTGAGAAACAAATATAATCACCAAAAAACGATGATTCTCTCAGGGGCTCCTTATGAGAGGACACACTTAAAAATCCAAAATTTTAAGATTGTTGCTGATATAACTCTGCAAAGTTCAAAATTAGCTCTCCAATCAAACTTTCTAGACACACCAGAAAACGATGATTCACTAATCTTGTAGCAGAGACTCAAGGAACGCCGGGGACTTGCACGCGTTCCAAACCAATGACTTTAGGCTTTTACCATATCTCCGCTGAATATTGATGAATTAATTCTTTTTTTCTTTTGTTGTTGGAACACATTAATTAGAAAAAGGAAAAAAAAAAAAAACAAAAAAAAAAACAGTTGATGATTCCAGTACACCCAGTGTACCTTCAAAAGTGTGTGCGTGTGCGTGTGTGTATATATATATATATATATAATAATATTAACTTGTATATATGTATATGGTTTGGACGTCGATTCTTAAAAAGTAAATGTAGTTCGGTCGTCTTACCAAATCGGTCAACATCATGGTCAAAGTTTCTCCAATACTTTTGAAATCATTCTTACCTGAGTTAGTGAGTAACTCCAACAAATCATTATTCTTCAAACTATTCAAATTAATGAGTAAGACAAGTAAACTAGATTGGGAGGAATTCAAATCAATAGAACTACCCTTAGACTTAATCATATAATCAAAGTATTGATTAGCGTTTGAGTAAACAGTGATTAGAAAAAACAAAAGCACACTAATAAAGAAAAGCATTAACATGATTGTGGCCCATATTCTGATAACTAAAGAACTGAAGATTTTATTATACCATTAATTACCAATATTGAAAGTAGCCGAACTTTTTATAAACACATGTAAAATTTGGTTCTTTACATTTTTACACACTCACGTGTGATGAATATATATGTATAATTGAATAATATGAAGAATGTGTAGTATATTTCATACATGAACCAATTTGCTCTAATATCATAAAAACATTTAAAATTTCATTATAAAACAATTGGAAATATGCTCCATGCAAAATTTCAACGTGGGACATTCTTTGGCATCCTCACCCATAATCCTTGCCCTGGGTATGATTAAGGTTTTGGGTAATACCAATGTTATATCATGATCATCCCTGACTGAAACCATGCCTCTGTAGTGTGTGGTTTAAATCATTTTACTACTAATTGACGTGTCAAGCATTGAAAGATTGAGTTTCAATTCTGCAATTACAGCCATAAGGACCTCCAGGACGATTTCATCTCTTTATCGGATTTGGATCCTCTTCTGAGCAAAGGAAAATGAGCCTTCCGACTTAAATATACAGATCGTTAGATTTTGATCCAACGGAATTATTATAATTTTTAAAAAAAAATTTCTTATTTATAACCGTTTGATCAAAATTCAACTATCTGTATATTTGCATCAGGAGGATCCGTCTCCAGTGCTCTGGAGAGGATCGAAATCCTTCTTTAAGGAGACAAACGTCTGTCGCCATGGTCAAATCAGGACCTGGTGGAGTAAGCCCATTCTCTATGTGCCCCACAAAAATGACTTAAATAAGCACAAAGCGATTTGTAGCAAAGTCAACAAGCCTGACTCTTGTAAAAATGGTCAGACTCAGACCTCACCAGCATGTGCACACAGATAGCCAAAGCCGGTTTGAGGACTACGCGCCACTTTAGATCACCACCATATTCACGACATACGAGCAAGCAACCTATTACTATAAGAAAAATTAATAAAAAAAATTTGAATATTTTGAGTTTTATTGATAATGAGAAAAATATGTTATAAATGAATAGTATCAAGAATAATTCTTTAAAATAAAAATGTTATTTTTGTTAAAAGTAAACAGTATTAAAAATGTTTCGTTGAAACTTTCATTTTCATATAGAAGAAATATGTTTGTATATATAGTACATAGTGTTATAATTTTTATTAATAACTAATAACAAGTAGGAAAAAAGAAAGACCTCTTTTGGCATAAAAGAAAAAAGGATCATCAGACTCAAATAGAGTTGGAAGAAATGTATGTTTTTTTCCTAATTAAAAGCAGTATCACTATTCTGAATTATATTAAGGAGATTGAAATTTGACGTTAAGATTCGATGAGTAGAAGAGAAATGTCCTAACACTAGAAACAATCTACTACTTACAGGAGAGAGATGTATATTATTTGAGTTTATGATTTCAATCTTTATCTTATAAGTGAGATGTTTTAGGTTCGATTCTTACCAAAAGCAACAAATTATTCTGGCAAGTTCATTATAAGGCTCGGTCCACCCTCCTATCCTTAGTGTAGATAGTATAGTATGTATTCAAAAAAGAAAAGTTTAAGCCTTCAACTTATTTATTTTATTTTACAATAACAGCAATTTTCGTAAATAAGATTTGAACTCTTCTCCACCTTCAATCATTTTAACAAAGTAAAACTAAAGTTAACTTTTATTGACTGTAATTAAGTATGATAAAGCTCGAAATTAAATATTAAACGCAACAATCATCAAATGACTTCCATCAATGTCTCCTAGAGAATGCCAAAGAATGAGTTGAAAGCCTCTTTTGATTTCAAAAGTTTTTCCTTAAGAAGTGGCCTAGATTAGTTCACCTTGAGGTCGCCGAGTGCTTTAAGATGTTATCATATTGGCTGTGGAGCAAATTTTCAGTCCAAAATAGAAATTAGATTTGACGAAAAAAATATTTTGATATTAGATCATCTCTCTTCATCTTTCCATGCATCCCCGAAGTATTAGTTTGACCAACAACTGAACATACTAGAATGAACATATTAGAATATAAAAATAAAAAAGCGTATCCCTACGCATGATATGGATTAGCATTACCCTTATGCCATTGATACAAATTAAATTATATAAATATTTGCATGTTTTACTTTTTAAGTTTAAAGGCATGTTCAAGAGTGCCTAATCCTATTGGCTATACAGGTGCGTCATACATGAATCATGTGGATTATAAATAGAAGTAATAATAAAGCGTGGTAGGACAAGTCGGCCATGCATGCATATAATCTGAAAGGGTAGGGTTTGGGTGAGGGTGGGGACTGGGGAGGGAAGAGGTGTGGGGGACAAAATTCAGTGTGGAAACGGTGTAGTTACAGTAGTCTTGTAGGTACCTTTCCTTCATTCACAAAAATCAAAAAAGGTAAAAAGTATGTTTGTGGGCTTGTTCACAGATGCAAGAAACAAGCACTATGTATAATTAAGTTGTAGTCGAAATCCTTGGAACAATTTTGAATCAGCCAATAAAAAAATAAAAAATAAAAAACAGAGAGAGAAAAGTCTACGTTCTTTGACTGTGGGAGACAAGTATGGCCGACATCGCCTCCCAAACACTTTTCTTCTTCGTCACAAATATCAGTAGGTGATACATCGTCGTCAGCGGAGCTTTCTATACAAACCATGAAGCAGACAACTACTGTTACAACATGTTTTTCTTTCTTTGGGTTCTAAAGAATTCTCAAAGTTGTTTATTGAAAAATATGAAAGATAAAACCCTAATAGCATGAAATGGATGAATTTATAGGCTACCGGAACCCTAGGATTGCTAGGGACCTAAGTAAACAAAATATAC